AAAAGGTTTTTAAATATTTTTCTGGAGAGTCTCCTGAACGTGACAGCAGGTTGGAGAAGTACCCAGCGGTGCCCAGACCGCTCTCCAGGTGTTCCTGGGATGCAGCGCGGAGCAGGTTTCCCAGTTGGAATCCTGTATCCCGGCCGGGTGTGCGAAGGGAGGCAGGAAATGCTGTTGTGGCGGGTTCCTGCTGCCACCGGCTGGTAATCGGTGTCCCCTGCATCTTCTCAGACCTCACCGAATCCTGTTTTCGTTTCCATCACAATTTACCCGGCGTCTATTTGGTTCTTATTCCCGTCCTTTTTTTAGCACCGTCGCCAAAGTGAGCGAAACGGGATTGACATCAGAGCGAAGGGGAACGCAGAACGCGGAGAGAAAGACCTGTTTCGTATGAATTAAGGCTTTGCATCTTTTTCCACTGAAATATTTTAACCCACTTCTGCCTTTTCGTGTCGTTTTTCCGTTCGTGCAGGTGCTCTTTCCTGCAGCACTTTTCGGGGCAGAGACATTCCAGCTCGGACACCGTGTTCCTGACCAGAACGGTGGTTGTGGGCTGCAGCTTTTTGGAGATTTCACTGCTTTCCATTGCAAGGTGTGCTGCAACACGACAGCAACCGGCTTTGTAAAGCTGTTTGCTTCGAGCCCCTTGGCCCGTTCACACGAAGCTTTTTCTCTGCTTTTTAAAAAAAATTTCAAATTTCTGCCGCTGTGCTTTAACAGGATTTGCAGCTGTGAATGTGCTTTAATAAAATTTACAGCTGGGCTGAAGTACCCCCACTCTTAAAATAACATTGCAGCTCCATGATTCAGGAGAGTGTTGCTTTGTCTGGAGCTGGGAATGCTCTGGAGAAAGAGGAGGATATAAGCAAACCCCAAACTTTTATACGTGGCTAAATAGGAAGCGTAATCCTGTGGTTAGGGACTGGAACTATAAAATGAGCGTGTTTGGGTCTTGGTTTTTGCTTTGCTGATGACTTGCTTTCTGCTCTCTCATGCAGTTTTTAACCTGCTGGTTGTTTTCTCTGTCGGTAAAATGGGAATAGGAAACCTTCAGCGTGTTTTTAGATCATGAGGTGATGGTTTGGGATCTTTACGTGCTGTAAGGTGCTGGATCAGAAAGCTGGCAGGCGGGAAGCAGTGCAGGATGTGGTGTCTTTGGAACCTAGCGAGAGCTGCGGGCCTTGTGTTTCTCAGACTGGAAAGCAGTTGGTGGCTGGGGAACCGACGGAAGAAATGCATTATCTTAAAAAGCTGCGTAACGGATACCGCTTGCCTTTCGTGGCTCTGGGCCGGCAGTTCCCATAGCTGGTCCCACAACATCAATCCAAAATATTCAGAAACAAAAGCAGCAAGACTCCACGAAGCGCTTCAGATCTTGCAGGGAAGGGGTGGAAGAGAGCCACCTTAGCATACGCCATTTGCTTGGTGGGCAGATGCCCTCGCTCTGGAGACCAGGACCCCTGCCAAAATACTGGGATGTTGCAGGTGGAGAGGGGAGGGTGGTGTGAGTGTCACGTCCTGGAGATGCTGCCTCAGATGGATGGAAGGGATGGGGGAGGTCCCTTAGCCTTGCTCTGACGGAGCTCGTGGGGTCGGTGCTTTGGAGGCAGTCCTGGATAAAGCTGTTCCCAGTTTCCCAGGGATGAAGGCTGGGCAGAGAGCAGGAGAGAGGAGAGAGCGTGCCTGGCAGCGCCCGGCCAGCTGCGAGCCCATCAGCAAACTGCTTACACGGATGTTAACACTCAGAGTCCATGTTTTGATTCTGCCTCTATTCCAAAAAAAAAAAAAAA